CTGGGACCAACCTCTTCCCCAAGGACGTGGCCAGCATGTGTTTATTTGTCTGTGGTTTCCTGAGCAGGACAGCTGGAGCCCAGGTGCTGACTTGGTGAATGACCTCTCCCAGACCTTCACAAAGTCCCTGAGACCTCTGTCTAAAAGACAATGGCAAAACTACTACAACGGCAAAACAGCAAAGCACAGACCACCAAAATAAACCACAGGGAAGAGAGACAGAAAGAGAGGTGCTATGGTTTATTCCCTCTAAAACACAGGTCGGTGTTTCTCCACTGTGAGGTATTGACCGGGTGGACACTTAATTGACTATGTGTTCAGAGGGCCACTGGGAGGTGATTAGGTTTAGATAAAGTCAAAGGGGCAGAGGTCCCATGATTGAAGACTAGTGGCTTTATAAGAGAGAGACCAGTATTCTCAGGTGTTGCTCCCTGTCACTCACCATGTGATGGCCTCTGCTGCCTTGGGACCCTGCCAGCAAGAAGGCCAGATATAAACTTTGGCCTTAGACCTTCAAAACTATGAGGAAAATTTTTCTTTATAAAGCTCCCAGCCTCAGGTATTTCATTGTGGTAATAAAAAACAGACTGATAAAAGAGGATAGTTAATTTTCCAAAGTGAAATCTCTAAGGATTTCCAGACTGAGTGGAGAAAAATATGAGTCCTAGGACTTAGTACTAAGAATATACCCCAGGAAAAAAAAAAAAAGTTGTGGAATGACCTTCCTCCAATCCTTGGACTCTATGCTTTGTGCCATGTTGACGTTCCTGAATTTGGTAACTATGCTGTGGGATATAAAAGATTATCCTTGTTCTTATGACACATACATTGAAATACTAAGGGCAAAGGGCATTCTGTGTAAGAGATAGACAGGAAGGAGGGAGAGGAAATGTGGCAAATTTTAAAGCTGGTGAATTTGGATGTAGGCCATCTAAAGTTCTTAGTATTATACTTGAAATTTTGGAATTTTTTGTTGTGTGAAATTATTTTAAACTAGAAACAAAACAAAAACCCAACTTGTAGATAAAGATTATCTTTTTTTTTTTCCTACTTGGATTCATGGGCCTTGGGTGTGTTCATTAAATGACAGCTGGGTGGGGTGGGGGATGGGATTAACAGGATTGAAGGGAATTTCTTCCTGCCTCACTGAAGGGCTGGTCTATCCTCCTCTGAGCCACAGGCATGTCACTCATTGGCCTTGGGCCTCCTGCTGCTGTTTGTACCTGGTATGAAGGTGTGTCACCTATAGTCCAACCTGTGGCAGATGGTGACAGGCTGCCAAGGGAGGGGTGGTATGGACTTCTTTATCTTTTATCAGAGAAATGTGACCAAGCAGAACAGGTAGAGGGTGTTCAGAGCACTCCTGAGATAATTGTCAGGGGTGACTGTTGTCCAGAGTCTCTGCTGTTGTCAGACAATGGAGTTTTTGACAGTCCACTGGGCAAGTCAACTGCACTGCTTGGCACTGGGGTGGGCTGCTCTAATCCACGGGAGGCGGTGGATGGTGTGGGGGCAGGGGTCTTCCTGCCTGCTTTGCATATCTTGGTTTCTCGGATAGTCAGCTTCTATTTGGACACTGACTTGTATCAATATTACTCTAATAACTGGAGATGACAGCAGTAGCATTTTCCTCTTAAAATACATCAGTGGTGATGAGATAGTTTTAGCATAGCACTGAGTCACCGTGAGACTACCACTGTGGCTGACTATATCTACACCCATGATAACACGTCCAGATCTACAAACAGCCCAGTAATAAACAGTACAAGAGGGAATCATAAAAAGGAAAAGCTGGCCACAGGAATTCCCTAGATGGAAAGAGAAAGGTCAGCAGGGAGACTCAGCTGTCATGGGTGATAGTTAGGTTTCCTCCCTCTATGGCCTGGCCCAAGGCCACCATGTTCTGGCACCTTCCTGCTAAGAGCCACCAGACCCACCTTTGGTATTGAGTTGTGAAAGTCAGATTCCCTTTATGAAAAACAGGCGACGTCCACTGTAGAATGTTCTTGAAATTAACTGAATTCATTCTGACATTTTCAGGAGGTGGCACCAGCCCCGATGCTGTAAAAACAAAGGAAAAAATATATATATATCTTTTTTTTCATCAAAAATATTGCCCCCAAAGTGACACATTCAACACCTTGGTCTCCCCTAGGGCTCTGTGTCTTCAAATGACATGTAGGTGAGGGAGAGAGAGGGGGTGTGTTAATTGTGCTGCGGAGACTGGATTTTATTTGAAGAACTAAAATCTTCTTAGTTTTAGTTTAAGAAGAAATTTTGGGGTGGGGGTAGGTGGGAAGCAAAAATGAAGTGGGGACAGATGATGGTGACCTGGATTAGAAGAAAGAAAGGTGTGAGAGTTAGGGCTCAGCAGGTGGATTTCAGATCTATTTCCAGAGGTATAAACTCTAGACTTTCTGATGTGGTGAACTGAAATGAATGTCCATTTCTGGCTTATGCATCTGGTGCCCTGATTGGAGCCTGAGCAGGGAACCATTTCAGTTCTGAAATGGGAGAGGCAGAAAAAAGATTCAAGGGGGGAGGTCAGCTAAACAGCTGGATAAGCCAGCTTGGGAGGACGGTCACAGGGAGGGCGGATGTGAGGTAGAGGCAGAAATTATTTTTAAACTTTTAAATAGAATTTTCTAGACATACACACAAGCAGAGAGGAGAGCATAATAAACACACCTATCACCCGACTAGTACCAATAGACCCAAAGGTGAGAGTCACAGGTCTATTATTTAATGCCACTGGTCTGTTGAAATTTAGGGGCGGGAGAGGAGGCTTGGTGATGAACTCAACTACA